GGAGGGGGAGGTAGGTACTTTTCTATAGCTCGAGCGTACGGTTCAAGTGGTAGCGCGATGGGACAGGCGTATCTAGTCCACGCTTGGTTCTAATTACGATTGAGCGACCGGTCGGACTGCACGGTTGCAAGCTAAACATAATTGAGGTCTAGGAGCTGCACTTAGATGAATAGATGGAAATAAACTACATAGTTTACTAATTACGAATTACATCTTCATATGTTGATCATTCTTAGTCAATTTGTGCGTACACCGTTATAACCAGAGCAATCCGAATCAAAAATGGTAAGAATTGTAGGGAAAGTCGCTCTTTCTTGTTAATTTAAATTAGCATTTAATTCCTTCTTCTTCTTGGGAAATATTTTTGAGTTGGTGGGCAGCCTGAGTTCAGTTCATAGTTCGCGATGTGAGCGATTCGACGGTTCTGCTGGAAGGAAAAATTACGTATATTCATATCATTATATTACGTACGATTCAAAAGTGATGATTTAGCAATTTGGCCGAAAGTTAGGTGCACCTTGGTCGAATTGTCTCTTCCCGTGACGGTTCGCCGATACAGTGCGTCGGCGATCCCTCTAGTTTATGGTTGTACGTCCTTTTGGCTTAATCACCAAATCGCGCAGATCGTGAGCTGTGAACGCTGCCTCACAGTAATATATATGTACATATTTTAAAGGAATGATTCACGACAAGAACGAAGGTCAAAGAAGGGGAAAATTGCATAGTTGGGAGACAGGCGGACCTCCTGAGGGTGCTGACCGACGCGCAATTGGCAGCGAAAGATTTGACCTCGGCGATCTAGCATGGCTCACTCTTGGCGCGGTTGGCGGGGTACGCCCACCGACTATCTAATCACTCGCCGCAGGTCTATACGTGGCGAGTGATTAGATAGCAGAGAGAGCGTAGTGTTGAAGAGGGCAGCGATGAGAGTCGCATCAATGCGCGAATCAACGGGCAGGGAAGGGGCCGTACAAATGGTTTCTTCTTCTTCCGTACTCCACAGACCACCTCTACCCTTATTTCCAATCAGCTAATTTTTCATCGTAAATCTGCCTTGCAAGACAAGGAAGTCTGATCTTCAAACTATGGCAGGCATTGGGTGTTGGTCAGTAATCCCTAGCGCTTAGAAAGTACAGGGTGGCGAAAAATTACGTGCGCCATAAAAAACGCTCGAACTTTATTATTCGTATACCAACATGGGAAGAAAAATATTTTCTTAGAACAACAAACAATGACATTACATAATCACAACAAGTTTTCAAAGTGCCCGCCTTCTGCTTTGATACAGGCTTCGATTCGTCTTTTCATCGAGTCGACGGTGCGCCGAAGGTAGTTGATGTCCAAACTGTTCCAGATTTTGCACACTTCCTTTCGCAAAGCCACCAAACTTTTCACGTTTCTCTTCCTTAGTTCCTCTTCCATATAACCCCAAACAGCAAAGTCCAAAGGATTCAAATCTGGGCTGTTAGAAGGCCACAGATCTTTCGTCAGAAAGGAGCCAATTTCGGTCTCGAGGAACTGAATGGTGGATCTCGCTGCATGGGCCGGAGCCCAGTCCTGCTGGAAGATGAAGTTGGGATGATTTTGCTTCCAGGGTAGCACAGCTTCTTCAAGGATTTCTTTTTGGTAGAACTTCGCATCAATTTTCACATTTTTGTCTATGAAAATCAACGAAGTCTTGTCTGATGCACTGATACCACCCCAAACCATTAAACTTTTGGGAAACAAACTTCTTGTGGCAATTTTTCTCTTCCGGGTGTTCTTAAGAGCTGGACTGAGAAGTTGGCGGTGATTCTGAGGGTTTTTAGCCACTTCCACAGTGAAGACTTTTTCGTCAATTCGGCGCACCTTGAAAAACTCCCGCAGTTTCTTGCATTTTTCTTTTCGACTTTGCTTTGTCTTTTCGGTGAGAACATGTCCATTCAATAGGCGATAACTTCGAAGCCCAAGCTCATTTTTCACTATCATTTGAACGGACTTTCTGGAGATCTCGAGCTGCTCTGCCATTTTGTTCATGCTCCGATCATCCTTACGGTCAATTCTCTTCTTTATAATACCACGCT